GATGACAAGCGCCACGAGGGCAGGAAGTGTCTGTTTTGGAGCCTCCATGCATCACCTTTTAATTTCTAGCAGAGTGCCTGGCACACCATAAGCACTTGATGCATTTTTTCCAAATACATAGCTAATACTTGTGTCTTATCTACTTCACGGAATTCTGAGCGTCTGGCACCAACAGGCACACAGGGCTTTGTAACTGGAGTCGCCCCTGTGTCTACAGAGCGGCAAGGTGGTATTGTGCCAGGGTGGCATGGGAGCAGGGAGACCGAAGACCTGGACTGTGTCACTCACCACGATGCCATTTTGGGTTAGGGCTTCCTTGGGCCTCCATTTTGTCTGCAGAATTAAGACATTGGAAGAGTATTCTGAGGCACCGAGGACTTTTTGGAAGGCCCTCTCACTCTAGGAAGACTCTCAAACTCGCTGCAAGGGCCTGATTTCCCCTTTCTGCACTCTGACTTCTCCCAGCCGTGGCCCACAGCACCCTCTGGTGGTCCTGAGTGACAGCACCAGGAGGCAGCTTCTGCTTGTGGTCACCAGGACTCGACCACAGGACCACAGGTGGGGCTGCAAGTGTCACCCCAAACCTTGTCATCTGATGAGCAAAATGGAGGCCAAGTTGAGGGCAGCATTTGCACATAATTTCACCAGGCTTTCGGCAGAGCTGGGGCAGACAGTGCTCTTTCCATGGTATCAGACAAAACTAATACCCACAGCATCAAAATGTACTGGTAAGCCACGTGTTGGCTTATGCAAGAACATCAGAAATGAGTCACACTTATTTCATGTTGTCCCAGCCCTCCTGAAATCCTCCACACCTGGGTGTGACCTCTAAGGCCCTTTGTGGGCTGCCCCGCCCAGCCCCTAGAGCTCACCTCCTTTTGCCCCTCCAACTCAGGAACGCCTGCCTTCCCACCTCAGGGCCTTTGCACCTGCGGTTCCATCTGCCTGGATCTCTCTTCCTTGTAATTGCTTTTTGGTTCTCACTCCGTCATGTGTTCCAGCTTTTAGAGGGGCGCTCCCTGATCGTTCTAGCTGATGTTGACCCTTACCCCAGACTCTAAAATGTCATGGTTCGACAGCCTTCATAGCTGTATGTGTACTTGAAACCATCTTAGTTGTTTGAGGTCTGCCTTTCTCTCTAGAACAATGGTCGTTGGGAGTTTGTTAGTATGCGGGGCAGTGCCTGGGTACTAAGTGGGTGCTCAATGAAGACACGAGGAATGACGGAAAGGAGACGGACACATGACAAGGAGCAAGCCAGAGACCACTTTAGAGAAAATCTGGAGGTTTACTCAACAGTCACATCACAAATGTACATGGTAAGTCAGTTCTTCACGAAGGCTCACTTTTCCAGGCAGGAGAAGAGAGGCGGTGGTCTTGAGCTTTCTGTACGGCATCCCAGGCTGACTTTCCAAATATCCCCCATCTGCAGCCCTCTGGGATCCTCATTTCAGGCAAATAACAGAGCAGGAGCCTGGCCCTGTTGTCTGGCACAGCCGGATCAAAGCCATTTTGGACACAGATGTTAAGAGGGCCTTGTCACTTGGCAGGGAGGTCCAACTCCCACCCCAGAGGCAGCAGTGGGCCTGTGCTCAAGATCAAATTTGGACTAAAATATTACTTGAATTTTTCACAGAATATCAGTTGAAAGCAATAAAAGAATTCCAGAACAGAATGGCACTCCTTGCCCCTCTCCCAAACTTACACATCTTCAGAAAATATTACAAATGCATTACCTCCTAGGAATTAGAAAAGATAACCAGATCTGTACATCTAAGCAAGGAATCTGGTTCTCTCAGTGACTACCATCAAGTGCTTGGCCACTCTTTCAAGACTCCAGAGACTAGAAAAATGAAAGAAATGGAAAGAAATAACGGGTGTGTTTTCAAAGACATCCCCTGTTTCTTAAGGAGAAAAAGAAATTCAACCAGCAGGAGGTTTGAAAAGGGAACACTGACTGCTCTTTTTCCTCGGACCTAACACCACATCCTCCCACCAGGTCCCTTCCACGGAAGTCCCCATCTCTGCCTCTGGGCCGCTGTTTCCTAAAAGGAGGAATCACATTTCCTGGATGTTTTCAAAGTTGAAAGCTCCAACTGGAGGCAGAAGATGGACCAACTTTTCATGTGCATGCCTGCAAATAGAGCCGTCTCCAAAGGCCTCATACTCACGGCAAAGACCCTCTTTGTTTAACAAAATGTTTCTGGAGTCCCCCTCAGAAAGACTGCTGGTGGGCTATGGGGTCAGGATACTTCCTAGCCACACCCTGTTTTGTGGCCTCACCCTCAGGATAAAGGCTTTAATACGAGGAAAAGGGCCCACATTCTCCCCCGTTACCCAGCAGCCGTGCAGACTCCTGGCTGAGCTGTGCTGAGTATCAGCTGGGAATGTGAGCGGAAACCTGAATCCTTGAGACAGGTGGTTTTCAGAAATGAGGCCAAAACACCGAGTGGCTTAGGAGGAGCAATTCGTTGGTCAACGAAACGGAGCCATCAAAGTCCTGCCCTTCTTTCCCGGGACTCCTGCCCTTCTTTCCTGGGACTCTGTCATGTCCCAGGACCTTCTGACGCGGGCTTGGGACGACGATCGCCAGAGTGCGCGAAGGACCTGCCCGCCCCGTCCAGGGCGTGCCACCAGGCTGGAAAGATGCCAAGGAGGGGAAAGGAAGGCTGACGGCTCGCTGCTGCTCCTGCTTCCCACAGGAATCCTGGTCTCGCCGGGAACATGCCGCCCACTTTGCGTGGGATGGAACTATCTGGAAGTCCAGTCGGTGCTCTGTGCTCCTCGATCCCAGTGGCCAGGGACAGGACAAGCACTCCCTTTGGGAGATGGGAGGGGGACTGCAGGCCTGGCCCCCAAACAGGGCCCAACAAGGGAATGCACGGCCTCCTCTCAGGGGCCGCAGACAAACGAGCCAGTTGCCCAGCTGCCCTTTCAGTTTGGAGTGGGACTTGCACTGTTGGGAGCAACTCTGGCCTGCGGCCCTTGGGGGCCTCTCGGTCTCAGATCTCGCTCCAGGCCCCGCATCTCCTGCTTGAACCCAGACATTGAGAAACACACGCTCAAAAGAACTGCACACGCCACCAGAAACGCCCCTCCCCCAGCCCCACCCCTTAATGTTTGTCTAGCAAGGCACTAGGAAATGGTTCAAGTTTAGGCATTGGCTGTACATTTGCATTTTTCTTTTTAAAAGGCACAGTTTTTATTTTAAGGATGCTGCTGCGTTGCTCTCTGGTGCTGATTCCTCATTCAACTCCCCAGTTGCCAAAACTCTTGTGACGGCGGAGTCTAGAAGGGGCCTCAGCTTGCAACTGCCTTCTACAGAGGGCCGCTTCTAGACGCATCGCACTCATTTGGAAAAGGACGAGATCAAGAAGCAGGCGTTGCAAGCACAGGGGTCGCCTCTCTTGCAGACAGGTGGCCAGAGCAGGACTTGTGCTGGGGCAGAAGAAGCAGAAGCAATCATTGTCCAGCGACACATTTGGTCTGAGTGGTGATGGTTGGGAGCGCTCACTCCTCCCTCCCCCTGCCATTGATGGCCTTGAGATCTGCCAGCAGCTCAAAGGCAGATTCGTGGCTCTGTTCCCACCGTCTCCGTTATTTAATTGGTAAATGGCACCATCAAGTGACCCAACTCTAATTGGAATGCTGATTTCAAGTATTTCCTGGGCTAGCCGTGGAAGCTGGGGAGGCTGTGGGCTGCGATTCCCATTTGTGAGTCAGTGGGCGGCAGGTTGGCTACAGAAATGCCTCCCATGAGTTTGGAAGCCCTCTGGGAGCCTGACGTGTAATTAACAAAGCAAAAGGTAAACATGAGGGCTGGCATGGAACGGGGTGTGCATCTGGCGGGGGGACAGCGGGCTCTTCTCCCCACCGCAAATGACACTGTGGCTGTGAAGGCGGTGGAGGTGCCAGGGCTTCAGGACGACGCCGAGGACCGGCTGCAACGAAGCCTCTGGTATGAGCTGATGACACAGGTCCCCCCGTCCCTCCCCATGACGCCACCAGCTCTGGATTTCCCAGATTGTCTCCAGGCTGGGGGCTGCCTTAATCACAGCTTTCAAGAAACCCATATTGGATGCTGGAAGACAGAATCCTACGTAGCATCCTAGCTTGCGATCGAATTTAAAAAGAGATCTTTAAAAATCCTGGAGTTCTAGAACCATGAGGAGGTCAGAGACGAGGTGTCTTGCCCACAGGGGATTCTGGAACCTTCCATACAGAGGTGAGCGCCATGCTGCACCTCTGCTCCTCCCTTGAGGCAGGTAGTGGGGTGGGATGTGTGGAAGCATGGAGCAGGGAAACTCAGCTGGCATTGCTAGATGTGAGGTCTTCCACTTGGCCTCTACCATGGGCTCAAGGCCATTGAAACAGCCCCAGAAAGCTGGTGGCTGAGCCGTCCCGGTGCCTTAAGAGCAGGGAAATGGACATTTCAAAGACTCACGAGAGTGGGGGGAGACACCCCACGTGCTCGTGGCTGCAAAGGAATGTCTGGGGTCCCTGTTCTGACCCCTGCCTGGCCGCTGGCTAGCGTTCAGTATTGAACACTCCGAGGGCCCAGGTGTGGCCCTTGACTGAATCACCTGTGGCAGAGAACAGAAGATGGGCAATAACTCTGGTCTCCCCCAAGAAGCAGAAATCAAAAGGCCCCGAGAGGTCTGCTTTCCCTTCTGCTACAGTTGGGTGGCATTGGTACCAGAGCTGGCCCAAACGGGCACATTCTGCTGCTCCTTCTAAAGCGCCATCACCCAGGGGAGCCACCTGAGGGCTGGACAGCCTTGCAGGACTCATTTGTGGGGTGGCCTCAGGCTGCCCTGGTGTTCTCCCACATAACACTCAAGGGGACATGGTGACAAGGTTGGAAAGGCCCTGCTGTTTATCCGTGAGGCCAGCAGGGATTACGCAGGCTCTGCTCTGGAGGGGTCTCTTGTGGAGTCTGATCTCCACCCCATCCCCACGACTCGGGGGGCTCAAGAACCAGGCAGCCCCTCGCTCCAGCTTCAGGGGCCCTCTCCTCCCTGCACCATTTGGCTGGCACCTTTTACCCACGGTGCCCACGGAAGCCTGCCTCCCTTGGGAGAGGAGGCTGCAGCGATTTCAGAGGAGACCCCGCTGGGCCTGCCAAGGGGACAGGAGGGCTCAGTTTCTATTAAAATTCTCCAAGACTGTTGAGTTGGTGTGTTCGAACAGCCACTGCTGGGTGGGAGAAGAGGGGTTGCAGGTGTTCATGAAGACCCTATGGTCACTCTCACTGCAGTCCATGCAGCTGCCGCTGACCGGGTGGAACAGGGTCTTGTCCTGCAAAACAGGGAGGTGATCAGCCAGGTGGCACTGGGGACACGACCCGTCAAATGGCAGTAACAGCAGCGAAGAGGAAGTGAGGGAGCAACTGGCCGGCTGCTCACAGGCCTGGTGGCTTTCCTCCTGAGCACACAGCCGGACGCTCCCAGCCTCCCTCGCGGCAGTGCTGCCGTGTGACTGGGGTCTGCACACTGGGGTGTGGGCAGAAGTGATGTATGCCACTTCCAGGCCTGGGCCCTAGACACTGTCCACCTCCAAATTCCATTGACGCTCGTGGTGTGTGTGTGTGTGTGTGTGTGTGTGTGTGTGTGTGTGTGTGTGTGTGTGTGTGTTTCTTTTAAAATGGATTCAGTTGCCAACCGGAAAGATTTGGAGATTTCACATGAAAGTCTGGATTTCTGAATGCTTCTGAATGACTGGAAAATCATGCATGGTAGTTCTGTGGAACAAAGGAATGAGTGGGTGGACTCTGTTGGGAGATGGAGTGAAGCACTAACTACATCACTTTAAAAACAGGTCAGGCATGGCTCATGTCTGTAATCCCAGCACTTTGGGAGTCCAAGGTGGGAGATTACTTGAGGCCAGGAGTCTGAAACCAGCCTGGACAACACAGCGTAACCTCATCTCCAAAATTATTTTTAAAAAAAATCAAGGCTGGGCATGGTGGCTCATGTCTGTAAATCCCAGCACTTTGGGAGATTGAGGCCAGGAGTTTGAAATAGCCTGGGCAACATAGTATTACCTCGTCTCTATAAGCAATTAAAAATGATAGGAACAAAAACCAGAAAACAAGTGGATGTCCTCTTCCCCTCACATGTCCCGTCTTACTTGGCGGTACTTCCATAGCTGGTTTCCCTTCATGCTGTGGCAGTCATAGAGCGTGACCGGGCTGGTGTGGGAGACGGCGTCGAAGCAGAACTTCTTGGTGTGCTGGGGGTCCCCAGGCCGGATGTCCTCTCTCCAGGTGAAGGTGAACACCTGTGCACACAAGGACGTCATGACAGGGGCAGCGGAGCCAGGGACCTTCATTCCTATTTTTCTCCAGTTTTTAAAAGTTATGGAAAACATGAAGCATAGAGGTCCCTAATAGAAATGTGGTCACCCAGCTTCAAAAGTTACCAACCAGCAGTCAGTCTTGTTTCAGCTCTGCCCATCACTCCCCGCCCCTACATCATTGTGAAGCAAGTCCCAGATAGCATCTCCTGCCAGGTATAAAGACTTCAGTAAGTGCTATTAAAACAAAGGTGACCACAAAGTCTCAGTGTCATCAAGCATCCAGGGTTCAAGGGCTCTTGGAATGCCCCATCAATTTCTTTTCACAGTTAGTCTGCCCATGTCAGGATCCAAACTGGATCCACATATTGCATTTGGTGGATGAACTTTTTTGTTTCTTCCAGCATCTTTCTGGAAGAATAACTGGCTCACAATAAACTGCACACATTCAAAGTGTATACTTTGATACATTTCGGCACCTGTTTATACCCATGAAGCCATCATCACAATCAAGGTAATGAATGTACCTGTCACCCCAAAAGTGTCTTCACACCCCTTTGTAATTTTTTTCTGTCTGTGCCCTCCCCATGACCCTAGGCAGTCACTGATCTGCCTTCTGTTACTAGAGATGTTTGCAATTTCTAGAATTTTCTATAAACGGAATCATAGAGTGTGAATTCCCTTTTGTCTGGTTTCTTTCATTCAACATGACTTTGTTGAGCTGTATTCATGTTATAATGGCATCTATCAATAGTTCATTGATAGGCTCCCTTTCTCCAGCCTCAGGAAGTTTCCTCACATGCACACACTGAGCTGTTCTCTGCTAAATATTTGAGGGGGACCCTTTGTAAATCTTACTGTTCTGTCTAGCTCTTTCCTTTCTCATAATCTGTTTGGCAAACTCTAGCCACCTTGATCTCTTGTACTCTCAGCCCCATCCCCTCAACCCGGGGAGCTCGCCTGGCTCCACGTGAGTGATCCGGCCTTGACTCATGGGCTGGAAACTCTCTCAAGGAAGGAAGCCGGGACCATCACACGACTCAGCATGCTGGTTCCCCCTCTCCCAAGGATGGCGATCCTACACCACCCTCTTAAAAACCACTGTCTCACACAGTCTATCCGCGTTTTGGTTGTTTTGGCAGGAAGATACCTTCAGTCCCTGCTACTCCATCCTGGCCAGAGCAGACATCATGGGGGAGGGACCACCAGCCGCTGCCTCCTGAGTGTTTATGACCCAGGCTTCTCCATTGCAAGAACTGTTTTTGACTCACATTTCTCCCTTCACAGGCTCGCTGGGGCTCTCTGCTCAGGGGGTGGAGGGCCCCGGGGGCACTGATCCCACTGGGGTCATGGGGCTGCCTGCTTCCCGCCGCAGAAGGGGAGAGGTGGGCACCATCACACCCCGGGCGCTGCTCTGATGCTTGTCTGAGGGAGTCCTCGGGCACGAATGTGGCCTCTCTGCCACGCACGGAGGCTGTTCTGAGGCCAAACTCCCAGGGCCTGTTCCAGCCAGGTCCCCTGCTCTTCCTGGTCTCTTCTGGAGCCCTAGGGTGGGGTGGGCCTGGGGAGAGCCACACCTGCACTGCAGAGCTCAGAAGGGGGGGTCCACTGTCCACTAAGGATGAGGGGAGGAACAGGCCTCTCAGAGGGAGGTGGCGGCATGTGAGGGGCGAAGCTGCACCCCCAATGTGTACCTGCCCGTCCTCCCAAGTCCTGTGCGTGCAGAGGACTGGCATCAACAGCCTCCTATCAGTGCAAACTTCCAAGACACAGGAATGCCCACAGTAAGGAGACCGTCAAAATGTTTCCTTGACCAAGAATCCATGGGTGCTGGGTTATTAACATTAGGGTCACAGCCCACAGGTGGGTCCCCAGGAAGCTAAAGCGGCTCACCCCTCTGCCTCCAGCCTACCCCCAGGTGAGCTGGCCCTACCCCTGGGCTCCGTGAGTGGGGACAGCACCCAGGTCATCACCACGAGGGCTGCCCATCCCCAGCAAGATCAGTTCAGGAACCTGAATGTGTGAGTGCCCTGGGGTTTTTCCAGAACTCTTGAAGCGGGGGCATGGCTATCCACTGGGGGCCGGAAGCTTCACATCTGCCCCTACACAGGAAGAGCTGGCTTGAGAAGGAAGCCCACAGAGAGGGAAGCCACTCCAGAGAGACCCAGCAACACTGCCAAGACTCCTCAGCGACCTGAGTCAACTGCCACTCTTTTTGTTGAAGTCCACTGAGGCTGGGGGTCCTTCATTTGTCACCAAACAGTCCAGGTTTACTGCAAGGTGAAGGAACCCCTTTGCCCAGGTGTTCAGGGATGGCTTCTGTCACCCCTGCCGTCCCAAGCCTCTCCCCTCCAGCCCTGACCATGCGTGCACCCCCACCCACAGATGGCCCAGAGAATCTGGCCGCCCATCCCTGGGCACGACCCTTACCTGCATGCTGTTCCAGGCGGCCTCCCCGCGGCCCCGGACACAGCCCTCCAGCCTCAGCGGGGAGCCCAAGGCCCCGTGCTTCGTGTCCGCACACAGCCCCGTGCCCACATTGCGGATCTGAGGGGAAAGAGGAGAGGAGAGAACCGTGAGGTGCCGTGAGGAGCCCACTGGTCCCTGCTGGGAGGGAGGGAAAGTCAAGGCAGAGACCCTGGGTGGGATGAGCTCTGCACTGGCTTAATAAAGTGGCTGGGCCATTGTAGGTGCCCACGTCTCTCAACAGAGGGACACTCAGACCACAGAGAGTCATCCTCGAGGCACTGCTGCCTTAGAGCACACAATCAGGGAGGGGTGGGGGAGGGAGGCGAGGAGGTGTCAAAGGACTTCAGGCTCCACTCCCAGATAACTTGCTCCAACAGGTCCAGAACTTGATCCCCATACCAGGTGACTCATATCTTTTTTTTTTTTTTTTTTTTTTGTGATGGTGTCTTTCTCTGTTCCCAGATTGGAGTGCAGTTGTACAATCATAGCTCACTGCATCTCCGGACTCCTGGGCTCCAGTGATCCTCCCGCCTGAGTCTCCCAAGTAGCTGGAACTACAGGTGTGCACCACCACGCCCAGCTACTATCTTAATTTTTTGTAGAGATGAGGGTTTCGCTATGTTGTCCAGGCTATTCTGGAACTCCTGGCCTCAAGCAATTCTTCTGCCTCGGCCTCCCAAAGTGCTGGGATTATACTGTGTCTAGCTAAGGACCGCACATTGAAAATTTCTAGAGAGGGACATGAATCTTTGCTGGAGGTCCTGGACCCGCTGCCCCATAGAGCAGGTGAATGTCAAGAGATGGCAGGTGTCCCGCATCTCCTGCTGAGATCCGAAGAACAACAGTGGTCTCCCCCCCTCAACCTCAGAGACAGGTGAGGCAGGTAGAGCACTGGACTGGGAGTCTGAAGCCCCGGCGGCTGACTCATTAGCCAAGTACTGGTTGGCACTTACTAAGGTCAGGCTGCTGAACGAGGAACTTGGGGTCACATGGCAGAGTCCCCAGCCCACAGATGTCACTCCTGTTTTGTCTGAGGGGTGGGGGCATGTGGCGGCCATGAAACGCGCTGCCTCGATGTCCTGCTGCGGGGAGTCCCCTGACACTGGATACCGCCTATGTCCGCCACTGTGTCTGTCACGGGCAGCTCCCAGCCCGTGTGTCTGTCACAGGCAGCTGGAAGGGCCGGGTGCCATGTGGCCCGGCTCCTGGGAGATGCAGACTCCTCTGTTAGGTGGTCTGGCCCAGGGACTCTTGGTTCACCTGGCTGAAGCTTCCTCAGAGCCTGCCGGCGACCTGAGACTCTGCCTACCCAGTCCCCTCCCCTTGCCCCTCCCAGAGGCCAGCCCAGTGTGTGGTCTCGGCCTTCCAGCATCCCTCACTGTTCCGCTCAAGCATTGCCCCCATGGCTCTCCTGCAGCCTGACTCCCCTGTGGTCTCTGCACCTGGTGGACCTGAGCCGACGCAGATGACAGAGCCAAGACATGGATGAAGGGCTGAGGAGCTCCATGAGGGAAGCCAACAGGCCAGCTTTCTAGACATGGGAGTGGCGTTGAGGGTGCCAGCCAGACGGCGTAGTCAGGCCAGGGCTCTCGGATTTGTGGTGGGAATTTGAACAAGTCATATCGGGTGTTCCAGCCCAGTCCACCTCTCCTTGTGCTGGTAACAACATCCGATTTTCCTGGGACCCGTGCTCCTCATTCTTCCCGGGGCTGGCCAGAGCATCCATCCCATCCATTTCCCCCCCTGCTACAGCAAGCGTGCAACTTGATTCCTACACCAGGCATGGTGGTTCACGCCTGTAATCCCAGCACTTTGGGAGGCCGAGGCAGGAGGATCACCTGAGCCCAAGAGTTCAAGATCAGCCTGGACAACATAGCGAGATGCCTCTACAAAACATAAAAAAGTTAGCTGGGCATGGTGGCGGGTCCCTGCAGTCCCAGATACTTTGGGAGGCTGAGGCGAGAGGATTGCCTGAGCCCAAGAGGTTGAGATTGCAGTGAGCTGTGAGCGTGCCACTGCCCTCCAGCCTGGGCAGCAGAGTGAGACCCCGACTCAAAAAAAGGGAAGTAGCTGTGTGCAGTTTCTGGGGTCTCACCTCTCCTGTGCCTGCACAAGTGTGACATATGGATCACGCCACGTCACCCCTGCTGGGCACGAGCTACACGCTATACAACTGCATTTTAAACCAACAGTGCATAATATAAAGATACATGGCGAAATTCATGCTAATGACATACAGTTTTAATTTTTCTATACTTAGAATACTAGGTAGCAATAAAAACCCACCACGGAAAGGCTGGGGAGGCCAGGCAGGAAAGGAAACGGTTTTATGCCCACTCCATCTGGGGGCACTTCCCCCTTGTCCCATGAAGACTGGCCCGAGCTAGCTGCCCACTACTCCCCTCTCACTCACCTCCCCCCACGCGGCGGCTGGGGGCTCCACAGGCGGGTAGAACTTGGGCAGGTCCCAGGCGATCTGGGTCATGAACCACCGGAAGCTCTTGCAATTGAGGGAACTGCGCAGCCTCTTCTGGGCGGCCACGTCCCCGGCCGAGAGGTGGCGGTACTCCGGCCGGCGCTGGTAGATGTACTCGGCATACTCGTCCATCCACACCTCTGCCACTCGCTTGAGGTTCTGGGCGAGAGCGGGTGGCAGGGTCAGGGGCCTGGCAGGTCGAGAGCAGCCTTGTGTGTGTGTGTGTCCTTAAGACAGATCTCGCTCTGCGGCCCAGGCTGGAGTGCGGTGGTGTGATGATCGCATCTCACTGCAGCCTCGAACTCCTGGGCTCAGGTGATCCTCCCACCTCAGCCTCTCTAATTTTTTAAGTTTTTATTTTTTGTAGAGATGGAGTCATACTATGTTCCCCAGGCTGATCTCAAGTGATCCTCCTGCCTCAAGTGATCCTCCTGCCTCAGCCTTCCAAGTAGCTGGGAGAACAGGTGCACTCCACCACACCTGGCTAATTTTTAAAATTTTTTGTAGAGATGGATTTTTTGCCCTGTTGTCCAGGCTGGTCTCAAACTGCTGGTCTCAAGCAGTCCTCCTGCTGTGGCCTCCCAAAGTTCTGGGATTACAGGCGTGAGCCACTGCGCCTGGCCTCAACCTTTCCTATTTTAAGTTGTATCAAAGACCCTGGTCCCAAAGGCCTTCTGTAGTTTTTTTTCCCTCCTTATTCTGTTTGTTGCAGCTCTATTCACAGTAGCAAAAACATGGAACCAACCGTGTTGCCCATCGAAGCTAGACTGGATTTTAAAAATGTGGTACATATACGCAACGGAATATTACGCAGCCATAAAGAAGGACAAGCATATGGACTTTGCAGCAACTTGGATGGATTTCGAGTCGATCATACTCAGTGATCAATCACAGAAACAAAGAACAGACTTCCACACGTTCTCACTCCTCAAGGGACCTTGAACGATTATAATGCTGAAGAAAGCGATTGGCAGTAGTGAGTTCTTTCTATTCTTTAGCACGTCTCGAGGACTTAAGAGCTACCAGTGAATGAACCGACTGCTGCGATTTGGCCTGTCCATCTTCTATCCCCTCGTCTAGGACAGCCCCTCCCCCACTAATATTTCCTTGGGGAGCCACCCCCGTCTCCCTACCAGCCTGGCTAGTGTGAACAGACACTCCCGGACACAGGATGGGTCGGCAGCGGGCCCGTGGCCTCGGGCCCCACCAGTCACAGTAGGCATCAGCCTGGAACTTCTGCTGGCATGACTGGGAGAGCTGCTCTGTTTCTGCCGGAATTGCCAGGTAAGTTGCCGGCCGGAGCTGCGGGGCCATATGGCCACCACATGAGAAAAGCCAGCCCAAGGATGAAATCAAGCCAGGCCGAAGCACAGCTGAGGGCTGGATTCCTGGAGCACGTTCCTCCTTTCAGCCACAGCTACCTCAGGGTTTCCAGTGACACAAACCTAGAAGGTGCCTCCTCGCTTGTGCCAATTGGAGTTGAGTTTCTGTCATTTTCAACGACAAGAGTTCTGACCAAGTTGTCTGGTTAAGAACAAATCATCATTTGCAACCCAAAGGTATAATTCCATCAGCGGCCGGAGTTTCTAATGACCCCTAAGGTGCAAAGGTTGCTGCTACTTTTATTATGAAGCACGAGGATACTTAATTACAAAGTGACAACCACAGCTGGGCATGGTGGTGTCCCTGTAGTCCCTGAGGAGGGAGGACAGCCTGAGCCCAGGAGTCTGAGGCTGCAGTGAGCTGTGATTGCACCACTGCACTCCAGCCTGGGTGACAGAGCGAGACCCTGTTTATAAAACAAACAAACAAAAATGACAACCATGTTATCAGCGCATGGAGATACCAGGTGAGGAAATGTCCTGTTTGTGTGTAGATTTGGGGATAGAAAAAGAGTAGATTCTTCTTTTTTTTTTTTTTTTTTTGAGTTGGAGTCTCACTCTGTCACCCAGGCTGGAGTGCGGTGACATGCTCACGGCCACCGTAGCCTTGACCAACTGGGCTCAGGCAATCCAAGTAGCTGGAATTATAGGCACGCGCCACAATGCCGGCTAAATTTTTGATGTATTGTAGAGTTGAGGTCTCTCCAAATTGCCCAGGCTGGTCTTGAACCCATGGGCTCAAGCAGTCCTCTCACCTCTGCCTCCCAAAGTGCTGGGATTATAGGCGTGAGCCACCGCGCCCGCCCAGATTCTTACGTGTAAGGGTGATGTACATTCCTTACTCCACCCTGCAGTGTAGACACCACCGGTGAGAACCTCTGGTAGCTGACATCCAGAGCACCCCTTCAGGGGAAACTCCGGGCTCCAAAACGCCTTCCTCCCTCCCTGGCTGTTGCCACGACCCCGTCCTCTGCGCCAGCCCCCTCCACCGCCCCACACACATTTGGGCTCAGCTCATCAGGCTCGCAGGGGCCAGCACTTGAAGCCATCATTCACACTTAACGGTGAGGCAGTGTTCTGGGCAGAAGGCGAGGCAGGGGCCTAGGTTCTGTGGAGAACCGTTAGTAAATATTGAGGCTTTCTGACCATATGGTCTTAACCCTGATGTGGCTATAAGGCAGGCGTAGACTCCATATAAAGCGGCATGGCTGTGTTCCAGGGAAACTTATGGACTCTGACATTCGATTTCCACGTGCCACAAAATATTCTTATTTTTTTGATCCCTTCCCTCCCCGGCAATTTAAAAATGTACAGCTCAGGGGCTGTCCAACTCGGTGAGCTGCCTTCCGAGTCCTGGGGGCAGGAAGCCAACATGAGGCGCCCCTTACACCCTCTGCCCTGGAGACAAAATCCACCAGCTCCCCATTTTGCCGGCTCTGAGTTTGGGATCTGGAAACGACGGAATTTCCCTGCTGCTACCTAATTCTTCCTGAGGCGGACGGGTCCACGATGGGTTAGGAAACAGTTCGGGAACGCGTGGTCCCCACCAGGCCCGGAGCTGCAAGGGCGCAGAGAAGTTGAGGGCCTAACAGAGTCTGTGTGTCCAAACAGTCAGACATAGCACCTCCTCTCCTTTTGCGAATTTCTACCCATGCTCTGGGCTCACTGTCCAACCTGCTCAAGTCGTCCCACCGAGAGCAAGGCTGGCCGATTTGACTACAGAACACCGCTGAAATTGACCAGTGTGACTTTTTTTTTTTGAATTGGGGCCTCACTCTGTCACCTAGGCTGGAGTGCAGTGGCACATTCATGGGTCACCCCAGCCTCGACCTCCTGGGCTCAGGCGATCCTTCCACCTCAGCCTCCCAAGTAGCTGGGACTACAGGTATACAACACCCGGCTCATTCTTAAAATTTTCTGTGGAGATGAGGTCTTGCTCTGTTACCTAGGCTGGTCTTGAACTCCTGCACTCAAGCAATCCTCCTGCCTCGGCCTCTCAGAGTGCTGGGATTACAGGCGTGAGCTACTGTGTCCGGCTTAGTGTGATTCTTAAAGGATCAAATAACACGATCTTTGAATTCTAATTCTGGTTCATATTTTAATGACTATTTTAGTTAATTTTGCATTGCTGTATTTTCCCGACATGGCTTGATAAGCGATTTCTCTCAGACCTTGAGCTTGGTACAGCTGACTGGACCCGAGAAAAGGACTCGACCCTCATTTCTCACCCATCTCTCCTAGTAGAGTCACAAAAAGGACCCTGGGATCTTGGTGGGCTTGGGACTCATACCCCTACTCTCTACACCTTTCCCGTTCTGGGTCCCAGGCCCGATTGGAGCCCAGGTGTATTTCTTGTGCTTGGATCACAGAGATTTGCCTGGATCCTTGGACTGTGCCTCCACTCTCACTTCACAGGTTTGAGGGGTTTCTGTGTGGCCTTCTCTGAGATCCCTTCCCAGAGGCAGGGACAAGAAAGATCTTAGCAAGTTGAGCAAACAAACGAAGACAGGCTACTTGTCCTAGAGGCAGGGAGGCTGGAGGCAAGCTCACCCTTCCCAAGCTGCCTCCACTCCAGACTGCCTGGCCGCATACTGGAGTCTGCACGGCCCCAGCTTCCCTCTCCATCTGGTGCTCTCGGGGCTGTCAGAAGAGCGCCCCTCACATCTAGCCAGCCGATGGTTTAGGGGCAGTGCTCTAGAAGGCTTAGGATTTGGCTGTTCAAACACCAAGCAAACGTTTTAAACTTGACCTGCAACTAAACAGGGGTACTTCGATACCGCGATAAAAGGCCACCGTTGATTGGGGCCACTCTGCGTTTCTGCACAGGATGCCACCGCCCAGGTCACAGAGTCACCGGGAAGAGGGCATGAGCCGCCACCTGGATCGCTAGCTGGTTTCACATCAAACACAGGATGCGGATTCAGCACAGATCTGAACCCAGAGTTCAGACAAGGCACCAAAATGCACGTTCCAGTCTTGTTAACGTTGGTGCTGACACGAATACTGTTACTAACAATAGCAGCCACTGTGAAGGGACAACGGGCTCCCAGACCTACTCGGGTTTGCATTCTGGCACTAGTTGCATAATATCGCCGTGTTTTGCCTTCCTCCCTAAAACGGGGCTTAGAAACAAGCAAGACTCACGTGAGGGGCCCGAGGTGCTTTGCACGACGCCTGGCCCGAAGGTGGTTTTACAGCTTCACTACAGTTAGCATGACCCACGGGTTTCATCCAGGGTTCCATACACAGGAGGGGCAGTGTCCCTTTACCAGGTGGGTCTTATAGTGACAGCTCTAGATAGGAAAGGGAAGCTTTAGGGTTGGTCCTGCTTGGGTTCACCTGTCCCCATGGTCCCCTGTGGCTGGAAGAGCCTCAGTCTTGGGCTTGCCCGGGAGTGTGCGCGGACTTCCTGCCTGGCACCTTCCTCAGGGATCACCAGTAGTATTTCAGAAGAACGCAATTCCTGCCTCAAGGGGCTGAGTCTAGACCCGCACCCCGTATAGGATGGGGCTGTCGCGAGTCACTTCCACCACTAGAGGGCACTGCCGGCCCTCCTTTCCCCGAAGCGGCCCCTCCGCTTCCAGCCACCGGGGGAGGCTTTGAGACAGTTTTCCTGGCGGCAAGTCTCAGGACAAGGCTCCTCCACCACCCAGGGCCTACGATGAGGCACGTCGAGGCTGATGAGGAGCCGACGGGAACTGGCTGGCACTGGGGTCTCCTTGGAGGTGAGGGGCCCCCACCTTCCTGGCCCCCCCAGACTTCCCGGCGGCTCTCTCTGCCCCCTGGGGCCTCTCTCCTCTTCATTTTTCTTTGGTGGTCACCTTGATTTATTTTTTTCCAGACATTTAAGACCAAAAAGAAAATCTCTGGCTAACAGATTTCCCCTGGCGGCTAGCGGCCAATTTCGCTCAAGCAGCGGGCGACACAAACCATGTTGAGCAATGGAACCGGTTGACACGTGGCGTTTTGGCAGTGGAAACAGGAAGGGGTGTGGGGAGAGCCCGACCCCGACATTTACGAACTCCTCCTCCCTCCAGGATTGCACACTCTCAGGCGTCCCTGCCACACCACACCCGCTGTGTTCATATCCATCTAACACGCGTCCTGAGAGCACCCCTGGCCTAACTGCACACTCTATTTTCATCCTGAGTAATGTCTGTGACACCCCAAGGGTGCTGCGCAGACATGTGCCCTCCTAATCCGGGTTAACGCCTGAACACAGGGACGCTCCCGTGTCTGCCACCTGAGATCACCTCATCCGCCACGCTGTGGGAAACGGCATAGCACCTTGATTCTCTGGGCAAGGCTGGGCGCTGGAAGGCATTCGCTCCCTTCACACGAAGGAGGAAAAACAGGCTCAGAGGAGTGAAGCAACGCTCCCGAGGTCACACAGCCAAAACACAGTTAGTAGGGCTTTAAGTGAGTTCTTTCACGCTGGATCTCACCAGGACAATGGGGGCACGTCCTCACACCTAGGGTTCACTCAGCCTGGACCCCGGGGCGCCTCGGTGCTGCAGATGGGCCGAGCCAACCCCTTCTCTCCACCCCCCGCCCCAGGAAGGCCACCACCTTACCCGGGCCAGGCTGACTCCGGCGGGGACCTTGTAGGGCACGTACTTCCTGTAGATGTGGCCCACCCTGGAGCAGGGGATGTCCTCCATGCGGCCCCCACACATCCACACCTGCGGGTCAGAGCGAGAGAGAAGATGGGGTTTCCGCCTCCAGCGCACCGTCCCTGGCAGCCGGTGACCCTTGGTGCACTGGGCAAGAGCTGCCGCTGGACTGTCCACTCAAGTCCCCATCACAGACCTGGGGACATGGGAAAATACAGCAGTAACAGCAGCCGAAACCAAAGGCGATGACAGCGAGTGTCTGTCACTGCCAGGCACGGTGCGGGGGTCGTCACTTGCAAGCACATCCAGGCCTCACTGGGTGGTAGCATCGCCCCACCGTCCGTCCGGACACTGAAGCCGAGGCTCAGGAGCCAGGGAATGCGCTTCCGATCACAGAGTTAGTAAGGGGTGGCATCAGGATTGAAACCCAGTTTTAGCTGACCCCGAGTTCGGGCTCTAAGCCACCATGCATGTCTAGAGCCTGGTGCTGAGAATTCTAAGGGGGCACAGGGCTCCGCGGGTAAGACGATGGTGACCTCAGAATGATGCCAGGTCCCGAGGGGACAAGGAGTGCTCAGGCTCTGTGGATTTACTGACTCTGGGATTACATTCTGGAGTTTCCTTTTTTGTTTTTGGAGACAGGGTCTTGCTCTGTTGCCCAGGCGGGAGTGCAGTGGTACGATCAGAGTTCGCTGCAGCTTTGAACTCCTGGGCTCAAGTGACCCTCCCGCCTTGGCCTCCCAAAGTGCTGGGATTACAGGTGTATGCCATCGTGTCTGGCTAATTAAAAAAAATTATTTTTTGTAGAGACAAGCTCTTGCTATGTTGCCCAGGCTGACCTCAAACTCCTGGATTCAGGCGATCCTCTTGTCTTGGGCTCCTGAGTGCTTAAGATGTGAACCACTACACCTGGCTGACAGCACGAACTTGCCAGCCATGTCAGTGAGCCACCTGAGAGGCGAAGGTGCTGACCGAGCCAAGCCTGCAGGTGACAAGACCCTGGGTTGCCTGATTACAACTATGAGAGACTCAAGGCGGCGCCATCAAGTTGAGGCACTTCCAAATCCCTGGCCTGGAGAAACCTGGGCACAATGACTGTTTGTTGTGTTAAGATGCATGTTGGGGCCGGGGGCAGTGACTCACGCCTGTGATCCCAGTACTTTGGGAGGCCAAGGATTAGAGACCAGCCTGGGCAACTTGGCAAGCCCTCGGCTCTACAATAAATCAAATAATTAGCCAAGTGTGGTGGTGCACACCTGTAATTCTAGCTACTTGGAAGGCTGAGGTGGAAGGATTGCCTGTGCCCAGCAGGTTGAGGCTGCAGTGGTCATGAACATGCCACTACACTCCAGCGACAGTGAGACTCCAACTCAAAAAAAAAAAAAAGATGCATGTTGGGGGTAATTTTTTCCAGTGGCCACAGGGAACTGACAGAGAAGATGGTTTTGGATGGTGACAGGTCTACAGGGAAGGCAAGGCCAGGCCACGCCACTCTTCCCCCACCAGCCTGGGGACCTCACTGAGGAGGGGCCATCAAGGTGGGCCTGAAATGATGAGATAGTAAAGGAACAATGATAGAACAGATGGGGAGAAGAGCAGGTGCAAAGGCCCCGGGGCAGCGCCTAGCAGGGCATCACCACTGCACACAGAGAGCAGGAGCCCAGAGCAGAGAGAGGAAGGGAGGCCAGAGGGGCGGGGCTCTTGCAGGGCAGAATGAAGGGTCTTCCCAGAAAGGCTTTGGAGAGGGAGGTGACATCATCTCGTCCCGTGGTACAAGGATGGCTCTGCTGTGGGGGGAGCCTAGCCTGGTGGAGCAGGGGCAGGCCTGGGAGGCTCCTGCAGAGTCCAGACAGGCCCTGGAAGAGGTGGTCCCAGCTGGAGGCAGGACACTGTTACTCATGCAGCTAGGTTCTGGAAGGAGGCTTGGTGTGGGGACACGGCGACCCACTTCTGGGCAGAAGCACCCTTTTCAGCACCAGCTGCTCGGGGGTGCTGGAGCTGGGCTTCCCCTCTTCTAGAGGGGCCGCTCTCCCACCTGGCACCAAGGGCCGGGTCCTAACCTCTGCTGCCCCACCCCCAGGCCGGATGGCCCTGGCGTGGCTTCCCACCGGGGTACGCGTGGGGCTGCAATTAGCGTGAGTGCTGCCTAGAGAAATGCGATTATATTCCGATCTTGGGGGGGGGAAATCAAGCGACTCAATAGAACAGAACATTGGTCTCAAGATAATGGGCTCCTGATGGTAGATTAATGTCAAGGCCAAGCCAAGAAGTTTATTTTCAAAGCGGGAGATATTGATCAGGCGCCAGCATCCCATAACAATAACTCTTCCTTTATGCGGTGTGATTGGTGTGGACGTGGTGCCTTTGTCCGGCGGGAAGGCCCGCCGCTGCGGGGCTGCCCTCTGCCTTGTGGGGGCGGGGCAGCACTGGGCAGGTGGGCACCTTTCCCTGCTCTCTTCCCGCACGTCTCCTGGGCAGCTGATCCGGCCGGCGGCCAGCTCCTGTGATTCAAGCTGGCATCTGCCAACGGGGCAGGGGAGCCCAACTCTTGCGGACGGATGATCCATTTCAAAATCCTTCTCATTGCTGTGACCTCTGGTTTCTTTGGCCCCGACCACGCTGGTCATCAGCCTGAGGGTCCTGAGGGACCAGGGTGACCTTGATCTGTGGAGAGGCTTGAGGCATCCCAAATGCCCTCAGAGTTCTGGGATGCTGGGGGGTTGCGGACTGGGTCCCCGCTCGGGGCGTGATGCACTAGAGGCTGGCTCTGATGTGAACCATCCTCAGAGAGACAGATACCTCTCCAGCTAAGGCTGCAACTGCTGCGTCCCATGGGAGCACCGCACAGGCCATGCCTGACGTGTCGGAACACCCTCTGGCCACCCAGGATGTGTGTCACACAAGCGGTCAGCCTGTCCTGGCTGAGAACCGCCTCCCTTCCACCATCTCCTCCCACTCATGCCTGGCTCCTTCTGCCTGGAGCGCCCTCCTCCCCTTGGAGCCTGGGTACCTCCTTCTCGTCCTTGGGATCCCCTCAGCCACCTTCTCAGAGCTGCTCCTGCTTTTAGAGGCACACATGGCACCTTCCATCACTGCTTCTACCAGAAGTGCAATGCTGACCCTTCATCGGGCTGTCTCAGGTTTACCCTCCCTGCGCAGGCAGCTGTTGGCTTTGCCCAACGCCCCTTCTCCTTGGGGACTGTCCCCCCAGCCACTCCACCTGGGGCCTGTGACCCAGGCTGGCCAGCCACAGCACCAGCCTCCGGGCCCTGCAGCTGCCGGGAGATAATGGGATGGGCTTGATGGCTGCTGTGCACGCTGGTGCTTGGTGTGACAGAGGACCACGTGCTTTTCTCTGGGAGGGGGCACTCAGGGGACAAGGGACTGCAGCTGCCATGGCCACCTATGCCACCACACGGGGAGGGCGGGCCTGCCGTGAATGTGACTAGCATAGAAGAGGGCGGGGCCGGGGCAGAAAGGCGCCCGTCGGAGCCCTGGACCCAGTCATGTTGAAGACACCCTCCCTCTTTTGCTTGGCTATAGCCAGTTTAAGTTACTGTCACTTTATATAAGAGTCCCCAACAGCCCTCTGTGCCCCCGGACTCAGGGCCGTGGTGGGCAGGGGCGCGGCTGCCGTCTGTGCTGTCGGGCCCTGTGTCTGGCTTCAGTGGGACTTTCAGGACCCACCCGGGGGTGAGCCAGGACGGCTGCAGCCTTGGGAACCGGGACTTGCCCGGAGGGAGGATGGCTCTCCTCTTTCACCAGTCCTTTCAGTTCTGGGGAGAGGCACTGTCTTTCTGCTTCTTCCAGCCGTCTTAGCAGAAGTATAGTCCTGAGTAGGGAGGTTTTCTTATTGCCTGGGCCAGAAGGACCCATTTTTCCACCTCTTTCAGGCTGGATGCAGGCTGGGTTTGTTGGGGGTGACGTGGGACGGATGTACATAGAAAGCCAGAGGAAGTGTCGCCTCTGTCTTGTGACCAACAACTCAGCTCTGCGGCAGAGAGGCGGGATCCCGAGCCTGGAGGGGATTCTCCGTCACAGGACGTGGACGCACTGTCACAGGAATGGCATCATGTTGTGCCCGGGCCGGAGCTGCCCCAGATCGCAGGCCTGTGGTTCTGCTTGTGGCCTGGGTCACCGGTGCTTTGTGCCTCTGGGCCCAGCTCCTTCCTTCACAGCCCGGGCAGCGACCATCCAAGACCAGGCGCACACAGCAGCCCAACTCCCACTCGCCAGCTCTCACACCACTATGTGGCTGCGTGACCCTGTGCAGGTCCCTGCATTGGGCTCGCTCTCCTCACCCTCTGTCACACCAGATGGCAAGGAACACCGCAGGGAGCACCCAGTTTGGTGCCTGGCTCCTGGAGAGCCTGACGATGGAGCGGTCATTCCTGCTTGTGAAGGAGAGAAACGCCATCATCTCGACAGTGTGCAGCATTCTCTCTTTTGCCCAGCACCACTGTGTTGCTTATCCTGTGGCCTGACTCCATGGAGACACCGAGGCTCAATGAAAGGACGTGGTTTTTCTTAACTGACTTGGTGGCAAACCTGCAAATGAACAAGTGAATGACAGGCCCACGTGGTGTGGGGCAGTCACCATACACCGTTTAGGTTTTGGCCACCTAAGGGCACTGTTCTAACTCTCCCACAGGAAGAAAGTCCAGTGGGGGGCAGAGTGGCGACCCTGGGCTGGCAGCAGCCAGATCATGCTTGACCAGGAGCCCATCCTGTTCCAGATGGGAACAAACACAGGCCACTGAGATGACACCCTTGCAGGCCCTTTCTTTGTGTCTGGCGTCAGCCCACTCCCTGCCTGTCCCCTCCCTAACTCCTGCCCCATGGTGGGAGGCATCTGTCTGGTCTGGGAGCCTTGTTCCACCACGAGGAGTTCCCAAATGTGGTGTCCTGGTGCCTTTCCTCCGTCAACGTCTTCCCGTCACCCTTCCAGACAAGCGCACGCCTGCTTGTGAAAACCTGTTCCCCATTCATTTCTGTTGCTGCTTTGATTTATCTTATTAGCAGACTTCTTTTGTGTGATGACAGGCTTCATTACAGCGTCTATAAAAGAC